CAACTAATGATTTGATGGCATACCATCAAAATTCCCACAAAAATCAATCTAAATAATGTATATACAACAACCTATTTAAATGCAATTACATAATGTTTCTTTTTAGGATCTGAAGAGATGGGCCAATGGTTAAGAGCACTTGTTGCTTTTGCAAAGGACAAGAGTTCAGCACCTACTCGGTGGTTCATAACCATCTGTCACTCCAATTACAGGGGATTTGACATCCTCTGATGACCTCCTCAGGCACTGCATACATGCAAGTAAAACACTTGGACATGTAAAAATAAAATAGGGGGCTGGAGAAATGGCTCAGCAATTAAGAGCATAGCTGCTCTTCCACAGGTTCTGAGTTCAATTCCCAGCAACCACATGGTGGCTCACAGTCATCAACAACAGGATCTGATGCCCTCTTCCAGAATGTAAATCCAAATTTAGCATTCTAAAAATTATTCTTAGAAAGTTCTCCTTTTGCCGGGTGTTGGTTGTGCACGCCTTTAATCCTAGCACTCGGGAGGCAGAGAAAGGCAGATCTCTTGTGAGTTTGAGGCCAGCCTGTTCTACCGAGCGAGTTCCAGGACAGGCTCCAAAACAATGCAGAGAAACCCTGTCTCGAAAAACACATCCTTTCTCGGATCACATCTACACAAAGTCCTGCCTGCTAGTTACAAGATTTACTACCCGACATCATTTATTTCTGGCCAAGAGAAAGATGTGTGTGAATTGAAAACTTTCAGACGAAGCTTCTCAACATATGCTAACTACCATGTTTGTGTCTTAGGGAAGCAGACAGATGAAAGCCCTTCTGTGTCCCACCTCTGCTAGCACTGTGACCTGAGCCTGTGATATCACGTGATAAAGTCAGGACATTTGTACTTCCTTGGTTCGGTGATCTAGCCACTGGTTCTCAGGGCCAGATCTGCCTTCACAGTCTCTCACTTCAGGATGCATGGCCTGAAAAGGCTAACTATAGTTTGGCTTTTCCAACTCTGCCAGCAGGGGTCACCAAGGGACATAGAAAGGCTGTAGGAGGGCAAGGGTTTGCTGGTGCTCTCCTGTTTGCTTCTAGCTTCTTTCAGCTTAGCCCCAAGGTGATTCTTTCTCCACTTGCTTTACCTGTTAGATTCCATTTCGCTGGATTTTCCCTCAGAGTTTCAGACTATGGGTATCTACAGCTAGGACACCCACCCACACTTGCTGACCCTTCTCAGAGGCCTGAGTGCAGCTCCAGGGCCCCCTCTGTCTCTGATTTTTCTAATGCACCAGGGAAGTAGAATCTACCCACTCCTCCAGGCTTGAACCACAGCTCAGATGACCCCCGAGAGTTAGCCCAGTTCTCTCCCTGCAACACCCTCACTGGGACAGCAAGCTGCTGCGTGTGGCTCCTAGCTCACTGTTGCATCAGCTCACTGTTGGTCTTTGCCATTCCGGCTTTCCATTACTAATCCCTTACACTGAGTTCTCTCAGTCAAAGAGCAGACAGGCTTCCCAGTTCCTAATTGAACCCCTACTGATAACAAGAAAATATCAAGAAAAGACCTTGCACTTAGGCTGAACCCTGGCTTTCGTGTAGCATAGCTCTGTCACCTAGTGTCACATTTAGATGTTTAGATAAGAACAGAATACTTGGAGGCAAGTGAGGATAGACCTTGACAATCAGCTTTGAGTCCTGCCACCTCTAACCTGGGAGCACACCAGTTTTAAGAGCAGCATCACAACTGACTCTTTTTCAGAACTACAGTGCCATATGAAAGGTAGGTTTCAGGGCTTGTTTGGGTCCATTAAGAGAAAGCTGATCCTGGTCAACAGAATGGAATCTGAGTTATTCTTCTGACCCTGGGTGACCCTGGGGTCAGACAAACTCCCTGAAACAGCACAGACATGTCTACTCTCCCTTAAGAGTTCATCCAACTTGGCCTGTCAGTCACCTGGCCAGGAGACCAGACCTTGAGAAAGCAGATTTTTCCAAAGACAAACTAAGGAGATGGGAAGAATAATTATCCCTTTAGTGAGACCATATACTTATCCAGCCCAGGAGCCCCTCCCTCCGTTTCTTTTTCAGATCTTGACTGCTAAGGCTGTTCACTCTTCTTAATTTTAACTCAAAAAGCACAACTTTTCATCTCTATCCCTTCTATCTCTTTCTTCGATACCTGCTCAAATCCTAAGTATGCTTGCCCTGGCATCTGGATGCCCTCATTCTTCCTCTAAAGACAGCACCAGGGCCTCCTCCCTCCATCACTGAACCTGCCTGTTGTCAGGGACGAGGGTGTGGTGTGATTGTCCTTCTTCACTATTTCTCAACAACTGCTGAGATTTACACTTGCTTACCCTGATAGTTTTCTCTCAAGAATCTAAGAAAATCACATTCAAAATCCCTTATGAATCCTTTTCGGTGAAAATAAGAACACACAAAGGGACCCCAGATTCCTCAGTAACATCGTCATCTTTAAATTCAACATCAAGCTTGCTTACATAGTGGGTTACAGTGAAATACAGTCATCTGCAGTATTTGTGGGGAGTAGGTTCCTGAACCCCACAGATACTAAATTCTTCACATGCTTAAGTTCATTGTGTGAACTTAATTGTGGAACAGCATAGCATCCTCATGGAACCTATACACCTCTTTCTTTATTATTTAAATTATCTATAGGTGTTGCTTACAAAATGGAATCTCTCAGAGTAAGACACAGTCTGGTGTGTCAGGGAGGAAATCACAGTTGTATATAATATAGAGAAACTTAGGGCCAGGCACACCCTGACCTCAATTCTCCCAATTATGAATTTTGTGTCTTCAAAAATGTAAACTAAATATACCTCACTTCTTTATAAAAACACCAACTTTTGGACATGTTGTAGCAACATGAAATAGGCGAAGACATGACCAGAGAGCCAGATGCCATCTAAGGTGTTTCATTCTAAAGAATTCCTGAGTTCTCAGGGGGAGTCTTCAGTTAGCTGGTACAGAGGATTCAGGAATAGTCTGTCAGTCATGACCGGTAGTGTGGTCACCAGCAACCTGAATCTTAAACCTAGGGAGTGTCTCAGAATTTGGGGCACAGTGACCTCCAAAGCCAAAAGCTTTGTGCTGAACCTGACAGCGACAACCTGAACCTCCACATCAATCTTTTTCAATGCCCACAGGGACACCAATGCCATTGTGTGCAACAGCAAGCATAGCAGAGCCTGGAGGACTGAAGAACCTGCCTTTCCCTTCCAGCCTGGGAGCATCATGAATGAGGGCATCACTTTCAACCACTGTAACCTGACCATCGGTCTGCCAGATGGAGTTCAGATTCTCCAACTACCTCAACATAGAGGTCATCAACCACATGGAAGCAGATGATGACTTCAGGATGAAGGTGGTCTATGAGTGAAGCCAGTCAGCTAGCGCACAGCCACCAATAGAGGCAGCTGCATAGCTCTCTGTTCCCCACGAGCCTCACAAAGTAAGTCCTGCATTTTTGTAGCTGCTCTGTGGGGTTCTATAGGATGTACAATGCAAGTTAATCTCACAGCTCTGTCAAGTCCCCAGTATGGTTGAGAGGTGGAGACATTCTGAGGTTTGGAATAAGAATCCACCATTTGATCTGTGTCTGGGTTTTTGTTTGTTTGTTTGTTTGTTTGTTTTTCTTTTCATGTTTCCAGTATTTGTATAAAAAGCTCTAGCATTTAAGTCTCTTAGTTAAACCAAATAAGCAGAACATCAGTCTGTTTTGTTTTTCTGATGGACAGGGATGGACACTACTTAGCGGTGATATGCTGAAGGGGCGATAACCATGTACAGTCCATGCTCAGTGTATCCTACAGAAAATGCCAAAGGTGTAGTTTTTTCTGCCTGTTACATCACTTGCCAGCTGCATTATGCCACTTGTAATTAGTTAGGTGATGACTCCACTCTCAATTGCTTTCTAAAATGAATATATTTTCTCTAAACTCTGGGATTTGGCTGGAGGGAATGAAGGAGAACATCACCTTTTGAGGAGACCAGAACTGTCTATTCTCTATTACAGAGTATTCCTAAGATGATCTTCTAAATGAAGCTAGAGATTTAGCAACAGAATTATTCTTGCTCCTGAGAAGTGGTAGCATTAACAGCTGTGTTTATCTCAAGTGAGATATGCTAAACTTAAGGGCCCATTTCCAAGTGATAGTGTGATCACCGCAGAGAATAGAAACCCCAGATGTTCTACAAATACCATAGTTAAAGGTACCACTTCACTCCTCTGGCATGTACTTATGAGTTTCAGGTACCTGTCATCTCATCAGAATAGCCATTTTCTTCAGCAGACATGATAGCTGCATCTCATTCTGCTTGTTTAAGTGTTAGTGGAAGGAGAGAATGAGAGGAAACCTTCATCTCTTTTTTGCTTTTTCCACAGAAACCAAGAGGATTAAAGTGTAGTTCAGTCCAGGACAGGGACATTTCATACATGGGGGGGGGGGATAGAGAGACAGAGACATAAAAAGAGACACAGATAGCCAGAGAGAATTGTGTTGTGTGCGTTACACACACACGAACCTACAGAAATACACAAATGCACCTACAGAAATAGCCTTTTCCGAAAAGTATACTTTTTACAAAAGAAAACATTACATTTTTCAAAATGAGCTTGTATAGGAAAATCTACTTTAAAGACTTGCAATTTGTTACTTTGAAAATCCAGATGCAAGGATATCCACTTTAAATACAACACAAACATCTCTTTGTATTTTTCAGTCTGTGTCTTTAAATTTTATTTAGAATTTCAAAATCACTTTATTGAAATCAGGTTATGGGGCTGGAGAGATGGCTCAGTGGTTAAGAGAATAAAGCATCCAGTTCAATTCTAAGCACACACATTCGACAGCTTGCAAACACCTATAACTCCAGCTGCAGGAGACCTGACACCTCTCCTGGCCTGTGTGTGCACTGCACTCAACACACACACACACACACACACACACACACACACACACACACACAGGTGCACAATTAAAAATTAAAAACAAAATACTTTAAAAAAGAAAATCAAAATAACTTTTATTCATCTACTTAGATTTTCTCCTCCAAAAAAGGAAGATGGTAAAGGGGCTGCAAGCTGGTGAAAGCTGGAGATGGATACCCAGCACAGAAGGTTTTATTTCCGTCTATTAAGTCACATTACTCACAGGAACACACAGCCACGTGCAAGGTGTCGTATAATTAAATCTTCTGGTTTATGATTGTTCCTCATTGGCTGTATGAGTGGGCATGTGATAATTAGGCATTACTATGAAGTGAATGGAGTTGAGTCATTAGCACAGTGACCTTATGTTTCATTCACCATGTAGTATACAAAGCCTTCTCCAGAAAACTTAGGTTTTAAATTTTAGTAATGTGAGATGTTACAAATTTCAAAGAAGCATTTGAATGTATCATGGCTTATGTGACATGCGCATGAATGAAGTAGCAGACCATGGCCTATCTTTCTTTCCATCCCCTTCTATTTCTCGGTGCTGCTCTCTAGTCCTGTCTTCTTCTTGATTCCTGATGCTCTTCCTTTTTTCTGTCCCTAGAATATATAAGTCTTTCCCATGACTCCTCCCATTAATAAAGTCACACACAAAAAACTTCTAAGCTTCTAGTCTTGTCTGGTAGTTCTAAGGACTTTACACTGGTAACATTATTCATTCATCTTTACAATACTACTGTGAGGTAGATAGGAGATAAGTGATTTTTACCCTCATTCTGCAAAAACACCAACAAAATGTAAAGGAAAAAGGACTGGATGAGATACACAACATCTGAAGCAGTAGGTGTATGCTTCGTTGTCCTGATTTTCATCCTGTGTAACAAAGCTGAGTTTGTTGCATATGTCACAGTCAGTGACTCTTGAAAGTCAATTGCTCCACATTGCAAGTAGGTTCACCTTGACCAACTGAATTTGTTCTTCTGAGTACAAAGTGGCGATAACTGTGCTCCAACTTAACATTTGGTTCTCTTTATTCGGAGATTTTCCTTAGCCCAGAAGATTAATCCAAAAGTGTTACTGTCCTTAACATCACTATTTTCCCTCAGGGACTCTGACTAAAGAACTTCCATCCACAGGTGACTGCACAGAGCATCTGGTCAGAGCTTTCATCCTCCCCTCAGAGTGATCCTGAGGGTGATTCAGCGTCTACAAACATTTGTCCTTTTGTGACACCATCTAACAAAGTAACAGCCAAGTAAGAGTCAATGTTATAGGCACTTCAGGAGAGAGACTGAGAAAGAAGACTCTCTTTATTATTTTGTTAATTTTTTGCTTTTGGGACATTTGATATGACTCCTAAAATTGTCCATGCCTCCTTTTCAGTCTTGACTAGACTTGACTTTCTTTGGTTGTGCTGTCTCCTAGTGATCTTATTTATTTCTGGCTTCTCTTTCTTTACACTACCATGTTATATTCCCATCGATTTTTCATTTTTAAACTAAATAAGGCATAGAGTTATTTCAGGCCCTGAGGTCTGGATTTCCATCTAAGTAGAATACAGTCTTCATTAATGCCACTGGTTTAATGCTCCATTGGCCTTCACATCAAAATAAGCCAGACTTTCTTAGGTCAATCTGGTATTTTTTGTTTGTTTGGTTTGTTTTTTTTTTTCAGTTTTCTTTTTTGCAAGGTGCTTATATTTGGTGACTTTATTGTTTGATGGGAAACAGAAGTTTGTCCAGATACATGGCAGTGTTGACAAAATCCTCAGTAATCACTGACCCTTGGGGAAAAGTGTGACGACAGGAAGGACATGACTAAGTAGAAAAAACATAACTGAAATAAAAGAAGACATGCAGCTCTCCAGTCACTAAATATGGAAGACAGAGCTGTGAGCAAACAAGATTATAAAATGCAAGAAGCATGAGGCAAGTGGCCACAAATTATGTGTTTTTCCGAAGCCACTCAGCCATCCTGGCAATTCTCTTCTTGTTTTTCAGATTCTCCGTCTTTATTGCCTGTAATTTGGCATGAGCCGCAGTTCTCTGGTGCTCCTCCAACACATTACCCAGGAACCTCTGCAACTGAAAAGACAGAGACAATTGATCAGTGCCACCAAACTTCTCACTGGCACAAAAGAAAACAGAATTCCCAGAACAAAGCAAAATGACTTTGCAAAGAGGCAACGGTGATTGAAGGAGTAGCTACATGTAGACCTTCATCATGTGTCCCTGGGGAGGCCGTGACTGAGACAGTATGATTAAGACCATACTTCCCCAGAAGGATGAAATGTCAGCTGGAATGTCCATGAAGTCAAAACTGGGTCTTATTAATTCCTTTATTTCCAAAGTACATCATAGCTTCCAAAAAATAGTTACTGAATGTGTATTGGATATTGCACAAGGTTTGTGAACAGAGATACAGTGAGACCATTTTGTATTTCAAAGGAACTTGGTAACTTCCAGAGGTCAACATTGATGGCTCTTATATTTGTCTTTACAGATGTTAACCTTCATCTCTGCATGTTTTAGTCAAGTTGACACTGTTTGTAGATGGCATCATCTTTTATTTATCTGAACTAATAAACAATTCAGTAAGGTTTCAGAAAATTAATATGCAAACACCAGTACTGATGGGTAGGAGAAATAGCTCAGTTGGCAAAGTGTTTTTCATGTAAGCATGAGAATCTGAGTTTAATTCCATCATTAAAATGTGGGGCATGGTAGCATGTTCTAGATATGATTCAAAGGACCAGGCTCCATCCCAAGCTGGCTGCCGAACTTGTCAGTGTTGTCCATGTGGATATGGGTTTAGAGTTGTGAAGGATACACACACAAAGGGGTCATGGAGTCTTCCTCAATGACTAAGGAAGGCCATTGAGGTCAGGCAATGTGTGTCTGGGAAGTCCTGCAGGAAGGCTCTGAGAAGACAAGAGATACTGAGAGGCCATTGTGTGAAGTTGTGGAACTGAAACCCTGAACTGCATTGGAGATCCCAAGAAATTAGAGGTGTCAGAGCCAAAGAGGCCTTCAGACATGGAGTGGAACTAACCCAAGAGAGATAGTGTGTTACAGGCAGCAAAGCTGGAAAGGCAAAACCACCTGTCCCATTTGACACTGTACACAGAGCTACAGAATTTGGAGTCTGCCCTGTTGGCTTACTGTTTTTCTTTGTTCCACTATTTCTTCATTATGTCCCAGCTCCTCCCTTTTGTAATGGTACTGTATATTCTGTGCCATTGTAGGCAGATTCACATAATTTGCTTCTTGATTTTACAGGACATTATCATTAAAAGAATGCCTCGAGTCTTAGAAGAGACTTTAACTTGGGACTTTTAAACAGTGTTGAAATTGAATAACAACAGAGAACTTTGAAGTTGAACTAAAATCGTTTTTTATTATGATGTGATCACAAGCTTATGGGAGCCAGGAAATGGAATGTGGTGGTTTTAGTGAGAATGGCCCCCATAGACTCATAAGTTTGAATGCTTGGTCCCCAGTTGATGGAACTGTTTGGAAAGGATTAGGTAGTGTGGCCTTGTTGGGAACGTGCGTCACTGGAGGTGGGTTTTGAGATTTCAAAAGCCCATGCCATTTCCAGTTAGCTCTCTCTTTCTCTTCTTCGCGCTTGTGGATCGAGATGTAAGCTCTCAGTTACTGCTCCAGTGTCATGCCTGCCTGCCTTCTGCCATGATCCCCACCATGATGGTCATGAACTCTCTCTCTGTAAACAAGCCCCTGATAAACCCTTCTGTAGGTCGCCTTGGTCATGATGTCTTATCATGGCAACAGAAAAGTAACTAAGACAGAAGTAACAAAGGGAGTTACTCCAGAAAAACAGAATTGTAAGGGTAAATTTGTTAAGTATCTAGAACAGACTTTAGAATTCACCAATATTTACAGTTCTTGAAGACTCCCTTGGTAATATGGAGAACACTGAAAGCCCATTGTTAGCAATATGCAGGGGGGAATTTAGTGACTATACATATAACTTTTGACAAATTTTGGAAAAATAATAATACTGGCTTGTTGCTAGCATCTCTGAACAAACTAGCAAAAGAAAGAATGAGTTTATGATAAAAATTAACCAACCAACTTCTTGTATCTCAGGATACCGTGATAAAGGAAAAGAATGACCTCTGTGGTCAAATTAACCAACTTATAGCAACTCTGGATATAGTGGCAAGAAAAGAATGAACTCAGTGATACAGTTGATTGGCTCCAGATGTACAGAACCAGTCTAAAAGTCTCTGAGTGTGCCCTGGAAAAGAATCTTCTCTCCAGCAGCCATAGAACTCAAGTTTCAGAGAATCAAACCAAAGCCCTCATTATACGGTTGGCTGAATCACAACAAAAACTCAAGTCTCAACCTTGGAAGGTATAAGTTGTTAAAGTAAGGGCATTGATTTGTAAGGAATAGGATCCTGTGGCATGGGATGGAAGTGTGTAAGAGGATCCTATTGTGGCTGAATACTTTGAACCTCAAATCCTGAAGGGTTTATCTCACCTGAGGAAGTTATCTCTCCACCCTTAGCAGAGGGTGCATCTTCACTCCCTTGTCCCGTAGTATTGACCTCTCTGCCTTTGCCTGCGGAAATTAATCCTTATTGTATGCCCAAGCAGGAGTAATCTTCTCTGAAGGAGATGCCAGACAAGAGAAGGGCCTCCAATAGTTGCCTCTATACCTATAAAGACTTAAGGCTGAGCAGGCTCCTAGAGAGGACATAGAAAGTGTATGTAGTCCATGAGGCGGTGCACTACACCACTAAAGAGCCTCTACTACATCACTAAAGAGCCTCTTTTGGTTATGGATTTGCCTTCACTGCACATACTGCTTCTGCCCAAACAACCATCCTTGGACTTTACAGAATGCCTTACCCACCATTGTGGTCATTCTGCACAACATGGCTTCTCACCAAGGAACTCATTTTACAGACAGAGAAGTGTGACAGTGGCCCTACAGTCACAGAATTCACTGGCCCTACCATGTTTCCCATCATCCTGAAGCAGCTTGTCTAATAAAATGATGGACCAGCCTTTTGAAGACACAGTTACAGCACCAATTAAGTGGCAGTATCCTGGAAGGCTGGAAAAAGATTCTCCAGAAGGCAGTGTGTACTTTGAATATATGTCAAATAAATGCTATTATTTCCCCCATAGTCAATATGCATGGGTCCAGAAACCAAGGAGGGGGTGGTAAGGGGACTGGTTTCATTCGCTATCACCCTACTGGCCCACTAGGAAAGTTTTTCTTTAAGTTCTGCCTGCCTAGAAGTTTTGGTTCCAGATGGAAGAGCACTCCTGCCTGAAGATACAATAAACATTCCATTGAACTGGAGGATCAGATACCCCCTGTCACTTTGGGCTTCTGATGCCCTTAAGCCAACAGGAGTAACAATGTTAGAAGTAATTGATCCAGACTACTAAGGGGATCTTGGGTTGCTTCTGCACAATGGAGCTGAAGAAGATTATGTCTGGAGTGCAGGAGATCCTTTGGACCAGTGGTTCTCAACCTTCCTAATGCTGTGACCCTTTAATACAGTTCCTCATGTTGTGGTGACCCCCAACCATAAAATTATTTAATTGATACTCTATAATTGTAATTTTGTTATTGTTATGAATTATAATATAAATATCTGATATGAAGGATATCTGACATGTGGCCCCCAAAGGGGTCTCAAACCACATATTGAGAACTGCTGCTTTAGGACATATCTTGATGTTATAATGTCTTATGATTAAAGTCAAAGGAAAACTGCAGTAAACCAATCCAGACAGGATGACAAAGGGCCCAGACCCTTCAGGAATGAAGGTGTGGATCACTCCTGCTCAAAAAAGCTAAGACCTGCTGAGGTGCTTGCTGAGGGTGGAGAAAATAGGGAATGGGCAGACATATATATATATATATATATGGTATTTGTATTTTTGTGTTTTGTTTCCTCTGTTTTATCATGTAATGAAATATCAATTTAAGTAATATCCATGTTTATCATATTTAAGTTATGAGACACTAAAAGAATGTCCCCCAAGTAACATTGCCACTTATTCTCAAATATATAATATATTTGTGGTTTTACATGGGAAAGTTATATAATATTAGACATAATTATGACTTGGTTATTCCTTTTACTTAGAAATTAAGCAAGACAAAGGAGATATTATGTTTCCAGGTAACAAAAAGTGGACATGTAATAGCTATTCTTGGTTGTCAACCTGAGTACATCTGGAATTAACTAAAACCCAAGAGTCTGGGCACTCCTTATGAGGGGTTTTTCATGGTTGAATTGTTTGAGGTGAAAAGATCCACCCTAAATCTGGGTGGCAGGCCACATAACAGGACATGGAAGAAGGAAGTGTTTGCTTTTTGCTTGCTTGCACTCATGCTCATTGTCAAGTTCATCCTGTTCTGAGGCTTTCCTTCCCTGGTGTTAGAACCTGCTTCTTCAGGATTCCAATACAGACTGGAGCTTGGCAGCCCTCTAGGACTTTCTTGGGACTCTAGTGCTAGATTGCAACTGCTGAGACATCCAGATGTGTGAACGAAAGAACTATGGGATCCTTGGTCTTTCCATCAGGAGGAAGCCATACAGCCATATGGACTGCTTGAACTACAGCTTGTAAGCCATTCTAATAAATTCCCTGTGTGTGTGTGTGTGTGTGTGTGTGTGTGTGTGTGTGTGTGTGTGTGTGTGTGCGAGAGA